CGGATAAGGGTGTTCATAATACTTCGTTTCCATTGAGAAGGACACAGTCCTCTTGTTCAGCACCTGTTCAGCGCCCACAGAGTTGGACAAGTGGTCTCTTCAGGGCACCTTCTTTACCTCAGCCATATGTAGGATCTCCACCTTTGTACCATGCACCATATGAGTTTTCAACTTCAGTCAGTGATGTATATGGACAGAGGATTCCACCTAACTACAAATATTCGACTCACCAGAAAACAACTAGTTTTGATGATGACCAGCTTTCCCCTCCATTTTCATTATCACCATCTCCACCCACATATCTCTCAGGTGCAAATCTTGTGCAGACTCGTTTGCATTCAGAAACTGGTCCTGTCAGTATCCCTCATCCATTGATAGGCAGAACTTCCAGACATATATCTCCTAATTTGTCTGATCCAAACAGGCATTATCTCCCACCTATGTCACCTAGATGCACAAAGCATGATTCTTCATCCCATGAATCCCCTTTTGGAATCAGGCCATTAAGGAAAATAGATTTGCTAAGGGTTCCAGAGTCAGATACCGGGACTACTAATCCTGGACAAAAGGTGGGCAGTTTCTATTTCTTACTAAATGTGTGCATTTTCTGGTTAATATTTTTATTTTAAAACTGGTATCTGCTTGAGCCTTCTTCAGCCAGCTTCTAACTTTTGTTTGTGTGTTTCTTTTTCAGGTGTCTACAGATGCTAGAGACGATTCAGGGCGGTTCTCAGGTGTGCTCTCTTCAAGTGATTCACCACGTGTTGGAGTTTCTAGAAGTTCTAGCAGCAGATTATCTTTTCAGGATGACTTGGATGACTGTGATTTTTCCTGTCCTTTTATAGTTGATGATGTTGATACTTCTGATTCCCGAGCCAGGTAATTTTGCTAGAGTGTACTGTATCTTTAGAAGTATTCATCTTCTTACAAACCCTATTTCTCTGGTTTCATCTTTGTTGAAGTTTTTCTGTCATAGGATAATTAGTTTTATAGGAGCCAAATATGTGTGGTCATTTAGTTGTTGTCTAGCAGGTTGGACATCATAAGAAACTGGACTTTAGGTAGTTTTGAGAATTGAGCTTCTGATGAAACTTTGAAGAGAAAGTTAGCATTTGACCTATTGAATGGGGCCGTGTAGCTATCACTCTCAGGGATACATATGAATTTTCAACTGAAGTTCTTTTTTTTAACTTTTAGGTCCAATATGCAAAAAGTCTATCAAGTAGATGGGTTTTTCTTCTTTTCGCTTAATGAGTCAATGGAAAGATATTGCAATAAGATGATATAGATAATAAGGTTGTAACATCAGTGAATTTAGGTCCAATCCAATTTTTGCTTGACATTACAATTGTAGTTGTTCTCCGTGAGATAAGAAGCTTGTGTTAGCTTATATATTAGCCCGCTTTCCCCCTTACTTTGTCCTTAAAGGTTGTCCACTTTCTTTTAGCCTTTTTGTCTCTGATCTGCCCTTTATATATTACCTATTTCTAGATTATGTTTTGATTTTTAAGTGCTGTGCTGCTTTTAATTTAATGGTGTTTATTTATGCATGTAAATTTCGAAGTAGGGAAAAAGCACCTTATTATGGATTTTCCTGCATAATTTTAGATTTGCACTTTTTAGTTGTCTCTTGTGTGATGTAAGTGAAAATTTCATTGGAAGAAGTTGAATGAAACAGTAAAATCTACTGAAAGAGTGGCTCCTTGTCAAACAAAGCCACACAACTGTAGTATGCATACGACATGCACACATGAAAATCAATAATTTTGTTACTAGTTTGAGTTCATTGAATTTTCTTTGTGGGGACCTGTTAGAACTTCATATTTCCTTGATGATATCAAGTTAAGTATCTCAAATGTAGATATAGTCATAAAAAAATGATTATTGGGGATGTTTTTATTAGAAGCTTAAATAGTATTCAAAGAGAAGAGAAAGTGCTTTTTTTTTTCAAGCAAAATTCTTCAGATTTGTTGTCTGCAAATCTTTATCTGGATGCCTCTCGTCATACTGTAATCATATTTTTTTCAGTTGGCCTGCAGCTTGTTTTTAACCTTGCTACTGCTAAGGCTTTAGTTTGTGGTTATTTGTTGTATTGTGTAGAATTTTTTCTTTATTTTTGGAAACTAGGTCTGCATTGAGCATTGGCTCCCTTCTCTCCAAACTTCTAGGAAACAGGAAAAAGTTATGTCTTGTTTAGAGGCCTCACAACGTTGACAGCTTTTAAGTGAAACCACTCCATCCTTCTATCAACTAAATCTAAGGAAAAAGTTTTTTGTGGTTGGTTTTAGGAAGAAAGGGAGATTTTTGGTTACTATGAGTTCTAATTTAGCCCTTTCAAGTTTTATAATGCTTGTTATTTGCCTGCTGTGCTATATATGAGCTGGTGTTGTCAATATGCATTTAGTGCTTGATGCACCTCAGGGCATATCTGATATGTAAAAGTCTAAGATTTGCTTGGAAGAAAACTTTGTTTAGCTGACTGTATTGGGAATCATACTCTATTATATTAAACAAAACAAAAAAAGAACGATATTAGGAAAATCCTATTTGCCTTCCTGGCACTTTTATTTCCTTTTCTTAGCAAGTGTCCTCAAAGGAAAATTTGACCTTCTAGGAAAGCTGCCTTTTGCATAAAGTTTTCCTTAATCATCTGATAAAACCCACTCTGTTTCTTTCGGGAAAAGAAAACGACTTTGTTTTTTGTGGTTGGTTTTGTTATAGGCTCCCTAAAAATTAAGGAACTTCAGGCAGTAATTTTAGGAGTTGAAAAGGCAGAAAATAGAAGTAAGGTTAGCAGGTGAGATTTAAGGAAGTTGAAAACGGTAAACAATTGGTATATATATGTGTGTCTTGGTGTCAGATGAGTAATGGTGAGCTAAAAACTTGTGTTTGACTCGCGCTAAGGAATTGTAGAGTACTTTAAAATCAGTACAAGTTGGGGTTTCAAATCCCTTTTTCAGTAGTTTGATAGGACCTGGATCCATTTTTATCATGCCTTAAATGCATTCTGTTAGGGTTGAGATGTTCATCCCACCAAATCTTTGTTGTGGACATGTATCTTCATTTCTTTCTTTCTTAGATTTTCAACTCAACAAGTGTTTACTGTTCTTGTTATGCAGAGAGAACCTTGATCCCAGAAAGTGTTCAGAAGCCTCGTGTAAAGTATCTGCAACAACCAGAAAATCTCAAGATGCTGCTGTAGGTGCCCTTGTTCACATGCTGAGAACTGCTCCTCCTTTGCGTCAAGATTCTACTTGTTATACTGCACATTCTATAAAGGGAGAAGTAGAGGGAGAAACTGGCACTGCATCTCTGTTCTATGTTCCTAGGAAGGCATCTGATGCATTGGAGGAGCTTAAAGCTTACACACAATTGAAAGACATCTTACTTCCCAAGAGCATGGCCCGCTCAAGCAGTGAGGGTGGGAACTTTGCGTGATGTACATATATACTTGTTGCTAAGTAACGTTAAGGAGTGTTTACTGTGTGAGAGGAGTGAGGACTAACATATTCTGTACATAAATGATGGGAAATGGCAAGTATGATAGTCAATATATTACCTGCTTTTGACACTACTTGAAAACATTTGTGTTTTGAAGAAACAAGTAGCAGTAATCTTAAAAGAATATGCTCTATTAAGTTTCTGGTAAACAATTTTTTTTTTTTACTGTAATATCTAATTTGATCCTCTAGTATTAGCTACATGAGTGAGCCTTGCCACCTGCGCGAATTTGGATTAGTCAGGCTTCGGTGTAGGTATTGGACACTACTGATGCGAATCTGGATAAGTTAGGCTTCGATGAGGTAAAAGAACAAAAAAGAGTAAGTTGAGAATAGAAGCAATCAAAAGAAAGAATAGAGACCGATTGGTAATTTGGGAATGTGATGGTGCTAAACTATCAATAAGACTGAAATCTATTTTTATTTTTTTTTGGTTTTTCACCTGGTGTTCGATATTCATATAAGATTGAAATTTCATTTGTTTTAAAGAGTGAAGCAAGCGAGGGTAGCGTTTTAGGTTTATATTGTAAAATAAAATATAAGAAGTAAACTACTGACATTTATAAAACAACCAAACAATAAAATTAATAATTGAATCTTTTAAACAAAAATAATTGGCACTAACAAATAGGGACATATTTATTAAAAATAAAAGTAAAAATGAAAATAGGAAGAAAAAAAAGGTGTGCCAAAATAGTAAATATCATTTGTAGATTCACTTTGATTTGGTTTGGTTTTTGATTTACCAAAAGATACACATTTTAGTTATGTCACATGCTGAATGTGTTTTTCTATAGTTTTTATCGTGTTATCAGATAAGTGAGTTTTTTTTTTTTTGTTGGAAATATCTTGGAATGAACTAAAAAGTATATTAGAGGTTTGAGATTGGGACTTCCATGTTGGAGGTCTCAAGTTCGAAACCCCTTGCCAGCGAAAGCAATGGGTTTGCTTTTGGGTCGAGCTCGTTGCACCGGGCTTGCCTAGTGCGGGTTACCTCTCCTATGTGGTTTGCGAGCTATTGCATAGGAGCGAGAATTTTACCCTGTGCGCACCCAAAGGGTAGCGGCTGCGAGTTTCCTTTGTCATAAAAAAAAAAAAGTATATTAGAGACAATTAGCAAGATCTACTTCATGACTTGGATTTTTTTTTCCTACTCAATATTTGATATTCATATTGGAACTCTAATTAATTCAAGTTCACATCAGGTAACGCCCAATTTATGAGGAAAGTGCTCGTTAACAAGACTCGAAACGATATATTTGATTAAAAATATCAACTCCTTTCCACCACAATCCTTGTTAGTTCAAGGCTTTGATTTCAAACCTTCATGATAAGACATATATCTCCCTCCTTTTACATGTGACGATGTTGACCGGACATAGTTTTATGAAAAGATAAAAAGAAAAATAAATCAAAATTTATTGTCTAAAGAGTAGTATAAATAATTACTAGAACTAGGGTCTAGGAGTACTACTTAAAATTAAATTCAAATTATTTTTTTCAAAAAAATTCAAAACTACGTCGCCCCCATAATAGGGTTTATAAAAAGAGGAAAACTGGGAAAGAGAAGAGTTTTCCCTCCACATTCCTTCTTATTCACGAAACTCGATAATGGCCGATTTCTCAGTTTGCCCTATCTGTAATCTTAGAGTTCTAACCTTTGAACTCGAAAGGTGACTCTACTCTTATTGATTTTGTTATGTTCTATCTCAATTTCTATTTTTTTTTTCTTTCGAGAAAGTTCTAAAATTGATGCGATTTATACAGGCACGCTAACAGTCACTTCGACGATGAAGACATTGACAAAGACTTCGAATTGGCTCAACAAATTGCTCTTGACCTTGCCTGTGCCCCTTCAAGTCCACCTTATATACCGGTACTCCTTTTTTTTTCTCTTTGTAAATTATTCTGTTCTATATTATCTCATCAATCGCCGAGATTTAATATACCAGAGTACCAATTCTGATATTATCAACCTGCCTCCATAGAATTTTGGAGTCAAATTGGTACTCTTTTGGCTGCAAATCATTAGAATTTTGGAAACAAACAAGTTATAATATTTTGGGCTTTTTAAATTGGTATATTCTTGCTTAAAAAAAATGACTTGTTACTGGAAAAAGGATAGAGGGTGATAAAAGATATTTAAAAGGTGTAGACTTTGTTTTTGTTAGCTCTAATTTTCTAAAGCCTTGTTTACCTGATTATCAGGTTGATGATGACATGCAGTGTGAAACTAGTTCTCGAAAGGATCGGGAGAGTAGTTTTTTGAAGTCTGAGGCCAAAAATTGCAATCCTGGAGGGAAAGATATTGATGAAAAAGCAAGGATTTTATCTAGTGTGCACAGTAATGAAACCCAACCTCAGATTGGACAAGGGTTGATGGATTTGTTGAAGAACTGTTTAGAGTTGGAGACTGAAAAAACCACCACTATTTTGTGTGGTAATGTTGATCATTTCCAAAGCAGCCATTCGGAGGATTTTGGGTGGGGTTGTGGCTGGCGTAATATCCAGATGCTTAGTTCTCACTTGCTTAAGCAACGGCAAGAAGCAAGGGAGGTCTTGTATGGAGGTTCTGGGTTTGTACCTGACATCCCTTCACTCCAAAGATGGCTTGAAATTGCTTGGAAAAGAGGCTTTGATAAACAGGGCTCAGAAGATTTTGATCAAGCAATTTATGGCAAAAGAAATTGGATTGGAACTACAGAGTGTGCTACGCTCTTCCGTTCATTTGGCCTTCGTGCCAGGATAGTGGACTTTGTAAGCCGGGAGATAGACATTAGGTCAAGTGAAGTTGGTAAATGTGTGGGCAACATGGCACCTCAGGTTTATGGACCCATGGATAGATATCTGTCCAAAGGGAAAAATGTTGTATCCAAGGCTGTTCCGATTTCGTATGATGTAAAGGCTAAGCCTAAGGTCCAGCAGGCACTCATTGATTGGGTGTGGAATTACTTCGCTGACAATAAATCCAGGATATCCGGCAATCATGGTATCCTAGTCAGTCAAAAAGCGTAAGTGAATTTAGTCAGTGGCTGTATTTCCTTTATTAACTTGGATGTATGTGATAATCTTTACTTGTCCATAAATTTTCTTGGTTACCGATCTCTTCTTTCATCATCATTCTCTTTTTGGTGATGGGGTCTCTTATAAGCTTTGTTGAAACAGGCCTTTGTACTTCCAGCATGATGGCCATTCAAGAACCATTGTTGGGATTCAAATGAAATGCCAGAGAAATGGACCGATGCAGTACAATCTATTGATCTTAGATCCAGGTCATGTAAGTATTTGCACATTTCAATCATAAGCAAGTCTTGTCCTCGAGGTTCTATTATTGCTTTGGTCTTTATGGCTTCCCTATATTGTCATATTTCTTTAAAGGTGTTTTGAGTCATCTCTGATGGCCGTATTTGTATTATTCCTTGAAAAGTGTATGTGAAATCCATTGTCTCCCTTTCCGTAGTTAAATGGTCGTAATGATTTTCTTTTTTGAACTGAAGATGTAAAAGCATAATATGTTAGATGGTGGGTGAGGATTTGGAAACTTGCCTTATGCTCCATAAGTTCCGTTATTGGCAATTGGCTTTCGTTGTTTAACCTGCTTATGTATAATTGGTTCCAGGACTAAGACTGTAAAGAATTTTAGACTCTTGCAGTAAATATATTGTTTAGGGTATTCTTACATTACCAGTCCATCTAAAAATATGTGGTCTAGAAAAGCACATATGAGAGATTTGTGATTGTGCGTGCTGCTCACCTTTAATAGAGTTGTGCTGCAAATGTGCACACTTATAAAAGGATCTCCATCAACTTGGTACAATCTGTTTCCTTTTTCGTTAGTTTTCATCACTTATGGTTGGATGGCTGATGTATGGGATAGTCACTGTAGTTAGTAAAATATTTTGTTTCTCCTCCCTCAATATTCTTGTTGAGATGTTGAAAAGAAATCTGACAATGCTGTTCCTTTCAAAGCGATTAATGCCCTTTCAAGTTGGGGAAAAAGCTATTAATGACTTCTGATTTTTATCGTTATTTTTACTCATAAGTTTTATCAAAGTATCAAATTGCATATTATCAGCTACAGGGTTATGTTACTTTTAGGGTATATCATGTATAATATCTCTAGATTACTTACCAGAAGTTCCACCATACCTTGTCTCAGACAACAGAATCCTTGGCAAAATCTCTTAAAGGAAACTTCGGTTGGCAAAAGCTAATAAAAAGAGGTGTCCACACTCTGAAGAAGCCATTATATCAGGTTATATTGTATTTCAACCGTCTAACATTTAATTGTTTTTCCTGTTTTGTGTTGTCAATAACATTTTATTTATCTTGCAGTTGTGTTTTCTTGATCCTGGAATTGCTTCTGGGGAGGAGATTGAGAGCCTAAAGAATCTACACAGCATCCGTGTTGAAGCTTAGTCCTAAAATCTAAAGGATGTACAATATCCAACTAGAATTTCATACAGATATTTTAAAGGGGTGCTCTTAGCTTGCATGTATCAATTCTGTGTACAGTCATTTTGGTGATGAAATATAGGTCAACTGTTTTACCATATATTTTCTGCAAATATTAGCTACGGTGACACTAAGCTCCTGTATCTATTAAAATGAGAAAAAGATTTGGGAGTTGGAGGTGTGTTAATGTCCCTAGTACTGGATCAGTCAATGGACTATTAACGGGAAAGTCAGGCCTAAAACACAGGTTTGACCTTGTTTTGTTCCTTGACTTGGCTATGATTGCTGAATTTTGGCAATACATTGAAGGGAATTGCAGACATTGGAACTCATCAGAGAGTTCCCGATCTCCTCCGTTAAGGGAAATTTAACCTGCTCTCAGATAGAGGGGGTACAGAATGAGTTAACTCACTGGTTGAATAGCAAGAGTCCTAACAAAATAAATATAGGAAAAGTCCTAATTCACCTAGGAAAGTTCTATTTAGTGTTGTCAGAGACGCTTAATCCCTGCAGCCAAGCAAAATGTGTTGAGCGCTTCGCCTCGCTTAATGTGCACTTCGGTGTCCTCATCAAGGTTCTAATACATACTATTCCTTGCCAATGAGCCTAATGAGCCTCTTCAGAAGAGTGACACTAAACAAGTGATATTTCACTTTATTGTAATTTTTGTTCAATTTCTTTGTTCATATATTTTAATCTTAGACTAAACATAGATATTTGTATTTTTTCCTCCCGTTGTGTTTTTTTTTTCCATTAAAGCCCATGCTTTATTTGTGTTTTGAGCTTAAAGCCCCAGCAGGCTGAGCCTTTTTGCGCTTTTGCTTTGATCACAGTGGTTCTATTTGAAGCTAATTAAATAATTCAACACCTATCAATCCCATACTGGCCCTGTCTGGTTTTTTTTCTTCACCAAATGCAACAGTGTTATGACCAACAAATTAATAGTTTACATGAGGGTGAATCCTAACTCTTACCTTTGATGCAATTATCAGCGTACATCAATTCTTTTTCTCCATACTTTGGAGCCTTACAAATCTTGAATAAACACCATCTGGTTCTGCCATCAGGTTTGAGTGGCTGCCCTTTTCCACAATCTTACCTTTGTCCATAACAACAATTGTATCTGAATTTATTACTGTGGAAAGCCTGTGAGCAACTGTGATCTGTGTCACTTTTGTGATCCCGGAGCTGTTTAGTTTCATTGATTCCAGTGCACTCACCACTGCCCTTTCAGACTCGGTATCTAAGGCACTTGTTGCTTCATCCAACAACATTATTCTGGGTTTTTTGAGCAAGGCCCTTGCTATTGCTACTCGCTGCTTTTGCCCTCCAGAAAGTTGAGAACCCTTCTCCCCAACAAGAGTGTCGTATCCATCAGGTAAGTTACTTATAAACTCGTGTATGTTTGCTGACCTTGATACCTCCACTATCTCAGCTTCTGATGCTCTTTCACTCCCATAGCAGATATTTTCTCTAATTGAGCAGCTAAACAGGAGTGGCTCCTGCTGTACCAATCCAATCTGTGCCCTCAACTTTCTAAGGTTGTAATCTCTTATATCCTTGCCATCAATCAGAACTTTTCCCTCATTCGTATCATAGAATCTCAGTAACAATGCTACAATTGAAGATTTTCCAGCTCCACTTTCCCCAACAAGTGCCACCTTTAATCCGGCTTCAATTTGTAGACTGAAATTGTTGAGAACTGTTACTTCCCGTCTTGATGGGTAACAAAATTGGACATTTAGGAACTCAATTTCTCCTTTGATGGTTTCGGGTTTGGAAATATCTGGCATGTCTGGTACAATTTCTGTACTACGGTCGAGGATTTGGAATACAGGTTTTAGTACTTCTATGGCTGATATTACAGTGGGTATCAGTGTCCATAGTTCTGTAATTGAGGGTACAGTGAGGGAAAATATCTGGTATGCCCTTATCCCATTCTCAAAGCTGGCTTGATTCCTGTCGACAAGAATTGTTGTGTACCATAAGGCAACTGCATGAGCTATGTTCCATAGGCAGAGAGAGATGCCTTGAATAATTCCAAATTTTATGCTTTCTGACTTGCCTTTCCTAAGTGGTCGCTTTAAGGACAGTTTGGCCTTCTGAAGTATCTGTTCTTCGTGGCAAAAAGATGCAACAGTTTTTATATTAGTGGCAGATTCAGAAGTTAGGGCAACAAGTTCGGAATGTGCTAGACTACTATCACCAGAAAATCCTTTAGCTGACTTTGCTTGAATGAGGCCACCGATGAAGTGGCATGGCATCACCGCCCAGGCTACCAGACCCATTCTCCAATTAACTTTCATGCTGACAGTTGTTGCAATCAATATGGACGAAATGCACTGGACAATGACGGACATGCGGTCAGATATTATGATCTTCACTGTGGATGTGTCACTGGCTATCTTTGATGTAAGTGATCCAATACTATTTTCGGGCTTTTCAAACCAAGCTAATTCATTTCGTAGTGTGGCTGCAAACAGTTTTTGAAATGTGATAAGCATCAACTTTTATATAGGGGACAAAATTGAATGTTAAATATGCATCGAGAAAAGAGAACATGGAAGAAAAAAGAAACATAGATTGATGGATCTGATCTTCCAGGAATGTATAAGTAGGATACCTGTGTACAAAGCTTGCCTTAGATTTGTCATGGCCTTTTCTCCAATTACTCCAAATAAGTAGTGCTGCAAAGTGTGGGCAAACAAAGAAACCACTCCAATTGAAGCAAATATTGCTGAATACAGAGCTACTTTCTCCTTTGAATCAGGATGATAATATGCCACTCCTATTGTAATGATGAAGAACCCAAAAACAGGTTTAGAGATGCCTGCAAAAGCTGCTGCTAAGGAGCCAATAGTAGTCTTTATGATCTCTTTCTCATTCAAGGCAAACCAGATTCTGAAAAATATGTGTCTCTCTTTTCTTCGGATCTGCTCCTTCTCAGGAAGTTCCTTAAGCTCTCTTTTGCTTTCATTGGGCTCATCAGGTTGCGTATGGTCCTGAGATGAATCCTCTTGTATGGAAAGAACTTTTCTATTTGTAGCCTCCAACCTATCAATTAAATGCATTTCATTATCAATTAACCAGTCTGATTGTAATGATGAATATGGTATTGAGTTTAATCTGACCTAGTTTGACAATCTTGCGTGATGCTCTGCATGCTAAATAGCCTGTTGTAGAATATACTTGTATCTAAGAGGTTATTATGTGTTCCTGTTTCCACAATTTTCCCATCCTCAACAATAGCTATCATGTCTGCATTTACAATAGTTGACATTCTGTGTGCAATTAAGATGACTGTTCTGCCTTGTGCTGCTGTCTCCAGTGCTTCTTGAACTTGTTTCTCTGACTCTGTGTCAAGTGCACTGGTGGCCTCATCAAGCAAAAGAATAGGAGGATTTTTTAAAATTGCTCTTGCTATTGCAATTCTCTGTTTTTGTCCACCTGATAGTTGGAGACCCCTTTGCCCTACCTAGAGTAGGACATTTTAACAAGAAAACTAACTCAACATGCTTCAATTTTTTCATGGAAGCTTTGCTATACAAGAATCAAGGCATAGTTTCAGATGTACTTTGATCATGCTACAACTACTTTCCTTTCGACTTATCATATGCTTGGAGATGACAGAGGAGCAGTAAAGTATTTTAGCTATTAGAGACGGAAGAATTTAGAATCCTCAATTTAGGGTATTTGGCTCTTGATTTCCTATAGCAGCAATTAGTTTTTTATTATTAATTGTATTCTGCTCTTAGTTTTCAATTTACTATTTTAGGGGCTTTCTTACATGAGTTGCCCTCATTTGTTATCAAATTGTCATATCTTATGTCACTTAGTACTTTTTGTACCGGATGTAGTAGCCTGCTGTTCTTGTTTGCCTTCTTTCATTGTCCTTCTGTGCCAAACTGAATAAGCAACAGACTTTCAGGTGATCTTAACAAATGCTTTCTTGAGGAAATGATTATACTACAGGCTGCAAGCTGAAATTGGTGTTCATGGAATTATATTGGTTCACTTGAATAGTATATCTACTGTGAGAGGAGGAAAGCAATGTGTTTGCATTCTTCTACTTTAACATTCTCTTATGTTTAATGTTTCGAAAAGGATTTTCCAGACAAGTCATTTTGCCTTGGATCAGGTAAAGGCATGAGACTTCCTAGGTGCACACTTTTTTCTTTTCTCAGATGTTCTCAATCCTGTGATGTGCCTTTTGGTCTCCTTTTTGTTTCCAGTGGTGGAGAAGCAGAAAACCCTTCTTTCTTAGATAGTGAGTATAATTATTATTGCTATTAATTTTGACAGTGAGGAGGTGTGTGGTTGGCTGTAGGAGGAGTTAGGAGAGGTAGAGGTAGGCAGAAGAAGAACTGACGGAGGTGATTAGATAAAACATGCCACAACTTCAGCTTGCTGAGTACATGACCTTTAGATGGGAAGGTATAGTGGTTCAGAATTAGGGTATATGGGTAGTAGGTAATCGGGTGTCGTACTACTTCTAGTAATATGATTTAGGTATCACATAGTTTCTTTTCCTTCAATGTGTATTAATATTCGTAGCTGCACTTATTTTGTTATCTCTTTTTTTTTCCCCCTAAATTTCTTGCATTGGCTAAATTTCTTTTGCGCCGAGGCTCTATCGAAAACAGCCTCTCTATCTCACAAAGGTAGAGGTAAGGTCCGCGTTCATTCTATCCTCTACAGACCCCACTTATGGGATTACTTATGGGATTACACTGGGTATGTTGTATTATTATCAACTTTCCTGTTCCTTCCAGCTTGATTCTGCCCATAACTCCATTACTAGAGAAAATCTAATCATTCATTCTATTGGAAATATACGGAACTGAATACCACAAACTATGTAGACAGTTATGTATCTTTTTTTTTTTCTTTATAGAATTAGCCTAATGAAACAGTTGGTCATGTATATGAGTGATAATGGTCTGACCTCTGTTAGATATTGATCCGGTAGCTGGGATATGAAAGAATGTGCATTTGCCAACAAGGCAGCTCTTTCAATCTGTTGATCATTTGCGTTAACATTTCCCATCTTAATGTTGTCTTTGATGCTGCCAGCAAATAGAGATGGCTCCTGCGAAACTACTCCTATGTTTCTCCTAAGAAACTTCAAATCAAGATCTTTGATGTTGTGGTTGTCAAGGAGAATCTCACCTGATGGTTTTCATACTGAGTGAGTTTTTCAATTTTTGTGTAATTTACCTATTGTATTTGATTGATGCAGTATGAACATTATGAAGCTTTTAGACATTTACATGTGAAACTTTCTTTTGTTATAGATGCTTCTGCAAATTCGGCAACTAAAAGTAATGATTAATAATTAATTTTTGACCAACCTCTCACGGGATCATAAAATCTCATTAGTAGTGACATGATGGTGCTTTTACCACACCCGCTACTTCCAACAAGTGCCACTACTTTTCCTGCTGGAATTGACAAAGAAAACCCTTGAAGAACTAACTTCTCCTGCCGTGATGGATAAGCAAAGTGTACATCCCGTATGTTGATATTGCCATCTATTACTTCAAATGTCATCCCTCCGGAGTCGGCATCTATAGTGGGTTTTCTGTCAATCATCTGGAAAACTTCCTTTCCTGCTGCTTTTGCTTGATTGAAGATTTGTATATCTGGTGCAGCATACGTAAGTGATCTGAAATTTGAAAAATAAAAACTCATCTGGTTGCTGTTTTTAAGGTACTTGAGTTTCTTCATAAAATGAAGAATCTGTTGAAGAATATGAGGTTTTTGCTCTTACATTGCTCCAAACAGAATACTCATAACTGCAGCTATGACATCTCCTCCTGTTGATCTCTTGGCTGTTACAACAACAGCTCCCACCCATACAATAAGAGACCACGAAGCGAAAGTTATAGTCTGGAACGTGCCTGTTCCAAGACCTTTTATAAATGCTTCTTTCTTGCTTATCTTCATTTGTCTCTCTATGCAATCTGAGAAGGATTTGATTGATAAATTTTCTCCAACAAAAGCAAATACAGTTCTGATCTGGGAGATCGTCTGTCATAGAGCATCAGATACTCAATATGAATAAATTGTTATTTGATATTGCAAAATAAGATTGGCAATCAGACTATGCTATAACATGAAATTGCTATTGAAGAAATTGCTATAACTTGTCACCTCTTCTACCATTGATGTGGCCTCTGACAGGTATGCCATTTTTATATTTGAAATCTCACTCATTCTCTTTGTGTAACTGGCGCCAGTTAACATTATCAGTGGGACAACTATTAAGGATAGGAGAGACACTTCCCAGCAGGATACAAATGCAATTAAGACTCCAGAACCAAACGTTGCAATGCATGATAGAAAATGTCCCAACTGTCACGTGAAAAGAAGAAATGTTAGGTATAAATGGATATTAGATTGTAAATTAGATATTTATGAACTTCTGGATGTGCACGATGTTACAAGTGTTTTTTTTTGTTAATCAAATTTTCCACCTACTATTGAACAGTCTTTGAACTCGATTTTGTATGACAGGCAACTGGTGCAGGTACGAGGAAGCATCTTTGAGAATTAACTGTATCTCATTTGGGGAAGGGAGGGCTTCTTGAGTTGTTAAAGCTACTGATTATGAGGGTGCTCGAGTAGTTATTTATTCACGTTTATAAGCTCAAATTAGCCAAAAGTTTGTTTTACGCCTTATAAGCACTTTAGAGTTTAGGTTGTTTACTCACTCCTGCTACCTTTCATTTCCAATATTCTTCTCTTTGTAAAGATGTTTCTTAACTCAAATTTTTGGTAAATGCTTTGAAGCTAACAATAATGTTTACAGGGATGAGCTTATGTACCTTCTCTCCGATGGTGTCCTGTATGAGTGACATGTGGCTGCTTATGCCAGTAAGTACTTTGCCAGTAGTTAACTCTGTATCAAATGCCCCAATATCCTGTCTTAGCACTGCACTTAGAAATTTCAGTCTCAAACGTGCTACTTGTCTTTGACTAGCGTACATCCAGCATCCTATCTCTGCATATTCCACATTAGCACTTTTTAAGTTCAAAATTTATGGAGTTGAGTTTCTACTGTTCCAAATCAGTGATATTTTGAGTCTTGTTTATTGAAACTTTAGTATGATAGTAGTAAGGTAGTTACCTAGCACTCCAGCAGGAAATGTTGCGAAGGCCATATACCAGACATATGGGACGACCTGAAATTAAGTGTAAGCAAAACAGCTGAGTTAAGACCCTTCTCCAAGTGAATATGTATTACACTTCCAAATACTTTTGTTTCAACTTTTAACTTCAAATATTGTCCGAACGCCTACTTCATGATTTTGGATGTACCAGTAAAGTTAGTTATACCTTTTTGAGTGCTCTAACCATAGCTGCTGTGTCATCAATATTGTTTCCAAATGCATCAAGGGCTTTGCCTAGCAGATAATATCCAACAGGTTGGGCAAGTCCATGGACAATGGAACCCAATGTCCCCAAAGCCATGAGTGTCCAGTCAAGTGCATCTGCTTCACTCAGTAGTTTGTGAAATGGCAAAGTCTCAGACGTTGCCTTCTTAGTTGCATCATCCGCGTCCTCAGCTTTTTCTCTCTGCTCATCGTGGTCATCAATGGCTTCTCTAACTTGAGCCATCTTTCTTTCTGTTGCTTTCATGCACACGTACTTGCTCTATTTATATGCATGTGTTTTAACATATATTGAATACAAACATGTAGTTAATAACGTCCACGAGGAATATATGCTGGGATATACCTAAGGAAATAATATACAAATATAGTAATCGATCATGTTGTCTAACCTTATATATTATGGTATAAACACAGATTAATTAGTATGAGTTGTTGTCAAGTAGTGTTGGATCAGTTACATATTAATCAATATTCCATTAACAGGCATGAGATTATCGACAAAAGAGTTTAGTCTAAGCAAGTTTGTTTATTTTTTTGTCAAAGTCTGAGGATTATTCAGTTATAATATTTTCAATTTTCTTTAAGATTGAGTCATTGGACCAAGCCTCTCATGTAGCCGAGGAATCCAAGAAGCTAGTTCCCATAGTTATGCGTCATGTGCTATATATTCGTTATTCTGCGGTATATTCTATGAAGTATAATATAATTGGTTTCACTTGCTTTTGATGAACATGATTACAAATATATTAGAAGATTAAATATATTAGTGTGGATTGAGAGTATTATTTTGATCCAATAACATCACTTGGGTAAGGTTTATCGGAAACAACCTCTTTATCCAACGGAGATAAGAATAAGGTTTGCGTATATTTTACTTAATTCAGACTTCGCTTGAACATGTTTTCAAGTGCATGGTATCAATGGCCTAGCATATACAAATACGAGATAATACTAAGATACAATAATCTTTAGACAACATAGAAATATACATTAATAAGTAAAAATATCATTCCCATTTATTTGAATTGACAGCTGAATATCTATTATATTTGTAAAGTTGAATATATACATTTTTCTCTACACAGAGATTGGTATGTCTTCTCATCTATTGGTTTGAAATCTTAGATCTTGTCAGGATTTTTTTATATTTTTATTTGAGCTCCAATAATTGACTTGAACACAAATATTTCATCTGTTTCAATTTATGTGACGTAGTTTGACTTGACACAATTTTTTGAAACTTGTGACAACAAGCTAGAGTTGTTCTTAATAGTTCATTGATTATTTGCATTTGTCTATTGGGAATTAAGGTTTATTGGGTGTAATTGTCTTTAGTAGTTATAAGCAAGTGCAAGGTGGTACAGCGGACGAATAGTTTTCAGTGCGATTCTTTTGGGAAATTAAGAAAAAGTATTATTTGAAAAAACATATAATGACCATTGTTTTGGATGGACTCCACTGTATTATTGCTTTGTATTAGGAAATTAATTATGTCATCGATCTACTAATTCTAATATAAAACAACTACTCAGTGACAAAAACCGGACCTTTTTTTAATCTAATAAAATTTATACCGTAAATCATAGAAAACGTCAACGTTTATGAATAATGTTAGTACTTGATTTCGATTCATGAATAGCATCAATGTTTAGCAGAGGTGAGGCGAAATCTAGATTTGAAGATATAGGGCACCACTCAGGGCTTTTAGTGCACCAAGACGAGTTTTGATTATGAGAGTGCACAATTAATATGATTCTTTCTTAGACCTTCACGGTACCATGTGGGTCTGCCTGACCACCTTTGACGTGTATGAATAATTTTCAATTTTGTGAAAAATACTCTATAGATAGTTACAGATATAATTAACTCAAATTGCTCGAATGCTGTATATATGAAATACCGATAATGAAATGTTAGAAGTAGCCATACTGCCAAAGATATATACTAATTATTAAACCGCAAATCTTTCCACCTAAAAAATAAAGTTAGACGTATATCAATTACAACAAATTTCACGTATGTAATCGAATAATAAAAAGAAATCACCCCTACCTGAAGGGGTTTATTGAGTATCTCATCTCTAACTATTTAGCCAATCGATCTTTGTTGTTGTATGCAGTAAAATTAAAAGGCTACTTGAGCTTTAAATTATGTGATAGGAAGAGGCAACAAGTATGCAGGGGTGGAACTAGACATAGTTGGGCCAAATCTAATAACTTTAGTATTAAGAAATTCATTAAATATGTACAAAAATTAAATTAGAACGGATCAGTTACTAACACATGATGTCACTATATATTTTTAAATTTAGAACGCATAAAGTTCAAATCTTGGTTCTGTCTCTGGAAAGTATCCATTAGAATTATGTTTGATGAGAAATATGTAGCATGCATTCTTTTGGATACATTCTTGGTTTTGTCTGTATGACATAACATTTTTGTACAATATATCAGACCTCTTTCTCAAGAGGATCTTTGCTTCTTTAAGACACCTGAAATGGTAGATATCCAGATGCTTGATTGCATTTCATCTTCGAAAAGAAGCTTGATGATTCCATTGTTCGTCCTCAAGCTAACAAAGTACTTGTCTTGAGCCTCCAAACATTCTTTTATGATGTTGATCAGCTTGTCTGGACAACAGTAAGTTTTTTTAATATTATGAGTTTTTTTAATAATAATGCCTAAAAAGGAGAGAAGCATCAAGTTTTGAGGCAATAAATAGAAACTGAATAGAAAATTACATTCTTTTGAAGCTCTTAGAGTTCCAAAGTACTTCCTTTTGAGGCTCAGTATCAGTTGGTTTTGCTTCAAGTGTAGGGTCACCCATTTGTCCTCTTTATGTCCTGTGATGTAATAAACAAAACATATTTAGGCGGTGTAGTCCCACAATACGCAGACCTTACCCCCTACCTCGTAGAGGTAGAGAGTTTGTGTTTCTGAAAGACCCTCGGCTCAAGTGCTAAATCACCTATCTGCATCTCCTATAAGAAAATTTTCAGGAGATTTGATTCTTACCTGAGGGCATTATTATCCATATTCGGGCGCCTGCAGTGAGCATCTCTGGGATCCTAGGAGAGGAATCCTCTATGGCTCTCGATTTAAGAATTGCAGCTCCTCGTAAACCTAGTAAACAAACATTAAGCTTCCATCATTTAGAACGAACGCTAATGTAACACACAAAAAAAACAGAAATATGTGTGAAGTATTACATGTGGCTGCTGTTGCTGTGACTGCAATCATATCCATTGGAGTTTGGATGGCCAGGCCAGAATTGACGGCAGATGCAACCTGAGCTCTTCCTGCTCCGAGAGATTCCGCTGCCTCAGCACATACCGTAGTCATCAGAGCAGCTGCTGAAGCAACTACATTACCCATATGGTGGCTCCATTTCCCTTCCCTCTCATAATTGATATGGTGCGAGTCTCGTATTTCTGAGCTGCTATTGCTGGCAAAGCCAGCAATACCTGAAGCAAGTTGTGTGAGAGAAAGTACAGCATGTAGCTTTGCTGTTTGTAATCGGAGTTTCTCTTTCTTCTCTTGATCTGATCTAAACAACCAAAATGGAGATTTGCTTTTTAGCCATCCCTTCATGTGGTGCAAGTCCACCTATCATATGAAAAAGCATGAGTACAACATTAGAGACTCGATCTCATCAATTCCGCGCAATAGTTATAGCTTGACATTCTAATTAGTAACTAACAGCCAAGACTGCTGGTGAGACCTTTTATTAATGAATCTCTCCGAGTCATTGTACTGTTATCATTTTTCGTAGTGGATGCTTCAAAGTGTCGGTTTTGGGGG